CTTGATGATGAGAAACTGGTTTATGCATTTGCTATACTATCCTCTTTACCTTTGTGTGCTTTCTACTCAGTGAAAGAAAACTTTGCTGTGAAGCAGTATGCTGTTTTATGCGGGCAGCAGCCTCACAGGTCCTGTGTTGACTATGCCTTTTGATTGCATCATTGCCTCCTGGGCTTGATTGAATCTGTTTTGTGTAAATTTCCTGGCCTAAGTGTACAGTGTGATAAAGTCTACAGTTGTGCACAGTAACGTCCTAGGCCTTCATATTCACTCACCAATCACTGACTCCTGCAGAGCAGCCTCCAGTGTGGAGCCCATTCAGGGTCAGTGCCCCACACGGATGTACCATTTCCTACCTTGCACACCCATTTTTACTGCACCTTTTCATAAATGCTTCCTACCACTGCATTACAATTGCCTACAGCATTCAGTACAGTAGCATGTTGTACAGGTTTGGTGCCTAGAACCCACAGGCTACACCATATGGCCTAGGTGTGTAGCAGGCTACACCATGCAGGTTTGTAAGAGAACTGAAAACAACAAAACTGCCTCAAGATGTCCTCCCCAGGTTCAGGGGTGCAGGACTGTATGTAACTGCAGTTTCACCTCTCCCAGGAGTAAAATTTTAACCCAGTCACTCTGCAACTTGTTCAACACTAACCTGTCTAAAGACTCCTGCTGTTCCTTCCCCTAAGGAAGGGTCACCCTGCCTGAAGCAATCCCCTCTTTTCTTTTACTAATAACCTCTCAAAGCCACTTCCTTTCTGCCTGTTGTAAACGCCTTCCATTGTGAACAGCTGCTCTGAGATTCTATTTTCTAGATGGGATGCAGCCCGATTCGTGAACGGGAATCACGCCAGTTAGACCTTCCACTTACTCAGCTGAATTTTGTGTTTAACGGTTTGAAAAGCACCACAAAAAAAATAGCTGATAAAGACTCTGTGACTCAGAGAAGGAAAGATGGCGGTGCCTTGCAGTTTCAGCGGAGCCCCCGGCGCCTCGGGTCCGCAGGCTCCGGACCTGACCGTGGACAGACGGTCCCGCCACGGCGGTTCCACCCGCCCCTCCTCCCCGTCTCCGTGCCCGGCCGCACACTCACCATTTCTAGTTCCTGGGCCTCGCCGAGTCCCGCCTGCAGCTCCCACCACCTTACAGATCACAAATGGACGAATGACGGAAGTGCAAGGGAGATGCGATGTGAGTGAACTTCCACGTGGTAGCAGAGCTTAGCCCCACCCACCGCCCCCACTGCAGCTCCACCCACCTGGCACACAGCTCAGAGACAGACACTTCGCAGACATCGCCCCCTAGCGCCTGAGGTGCACAGGCCTGAGCCCAAAGCAGCCAGATCTCCTGTCCAAGGACATTTGCACTGAGAGGCAGCGCTGAGAGTCCCCAGGGAACAGTGGTCCTTCCTTGCAAACACACACACTTAAAAGGCACCTAATGAATCTGGATCCATTTTCATCTTTGTTGACACCTGGAGTCTGACCTGTGCATTTGCCAAAAAGGTGCACAGGCTCAGGTACCAAGGATGCCTTAGGGTGATATCCTTCCAGAACTACAGCCAGATTCCCAAAAAGAGCATTGAAATCAGAAACAAGCCATCATTTCCAGCGCAAACAAAATGTCTTCTGCGTATTTAGAATGGTTAACTTTAGAAAATGTTTTTCACATGAAAAAATGTGTTCCCACTGGTGATTCAACCATGCTCCTCTGAGGTCATGAGCCACCCCTTACTTGTGGTTGTCTTGTAGGCAGTTCCACAGACCTACCCAGAGCAAGGAGA